GGGGCGTTGGACTAGATGATCTTTAAGGTCCCTTCCAACCCAAACCATTCTATGCTTCTATGACATGGGGATCTTGCAATTCATTGCGCTTTGTATTTCAAGTCAAATATTTTGTCTATTAGAGTATCTTAGCAGTTGTAAGCCCAATTAGTTCATTGTCAGCTTTACTACCCAGAACCCACAGAAGATAATTATTTGAGGATGGCATTACAAAGCTAGGTATTATTTTGAGATAATGAGAGCATTCGAAACCACAAAGACTTCCAGCAAATCAAGCTGCACTAATCATTAATTTTTTGCTTAATTATAAAGCCATATCAGCATTGGGATACATCACCGATTCCACGTCTCAGTTCTGTAACAGTTCCTTGTTGAACAAAACAGAAAAAGATCTTGTGGCAACTACTGTATGTCTCTGTACAGGGCCATAAACAGAGACTCCCAGATTTTTAAGGTCAGAACAGATTGCCAGGTCATCTACTTTAGCATCTGGAATATCGCAAGCCACAAAAAAAGATACAGGGCTGTACAATGGATGTGTATTTATAAAACTAATTACAGTTACTTCAGATCAATTGTCAGTAGGCAAGAACCACAGCAATTCTTGCACCAATGGGAGCTATTTTCAAGCGTGCTACAAAGGCAAAACAAGATTCAAGGGTGGGAAGCTATAACAGGACAAATTCAGCCTTCAAATAAGATGTAACTTTCGAAGTGCAATCTGCTATTGGGCCACATATTCTTACGGATTTGCATTGGGGCATCGGAGATTGGCAGATCTGGAGACAGGACACAGCAAAGAGTCAGGGCATGGTGAAGAAAAAATTTTTCCCTAAGTCAGCTAAGCAGGACTGCCTTGCCTTCTTCTGCAGCTCATCTTCTGGGGTCTCCTAAGGAGATTTCACGTAATTGGCAGTTTATGCACTGCACAAGCCCCAGCACGAAGAACATGTTGGTTCTCCTAACCTAACACCTCTAGCCTTAACATAGGCCTATCTGTGTGAAATGCTATGGCTCTGAAGCTGGACTAAATCTGATCCCTCATCATTCATTCTGGCCTTAAAATCCATGGAACTAAAGAAGGCATATAGCCAGCTTAGGAAAACCAAAAGCAAGCAAAAAGACCCAACACAATCTGAACAAAAGCAGCTGCTGGAGTCTAAACAAGCTAAAATCTCTGTAAGCAGCTGAGTTCAGGGACATTTGGTCAATACAGAACATGAGTAAGTGTTGCCACAAGCAGTGGTTTTCCTGGAATTTTTGATTGCTGTGACAAAAAGCCATTAAAACACCAGTTATATTGTGCCAGACAATCCACTGCTGGTGGTGATATTTGTACTGCTACATTGGGCAAATGTTAGGTGTTTGCATGCTTGTCTAACTTTTGGCTACAGCTGATTACCATAGCTAACATGCAATAACTTGCTCACATGCCTAAGTTAATTTAATTTTTTTTTTTTTTCAGTCAGGGAATAACAGACTTGGGACTTTATTTCCATCACTGACAAGAGTGTATCTGAATATTTCTGTTCGGAAAGTTAGCTGTACCAGTTTTCAGATCTCCTGCATAGTAGCAGGGAGAAGAAAAGAAAGACGACGACTGCTGTTTCTCCATCTGCAAGTTATGCCATTAAACAAAGACAGAACCTAGAAAGTACATATTTTCGAGTGTTTACCACAAAGCCTAAATATTACAGCTCCTTCCTCCTGCTTTCTCAGAAGTGAGCATAATCAGATAAGGAGAAGTCTGCAAATTTACATGGTCAGGAGGTTTTCACAGACGGTGGAGTTTTCCACCGCGCTGGTAGCCAACAAGGCTGCAGGGGAAACACATGGCTCGCGTTCAAGGCTGCCTCAGCGCTCCCGGAGCGAGCGCAGCTCCAACACGGAGCAGGCCCCTGGTGCCACACAGCACCCGCAGCCTTCGGTGCACATCAGGCACACAAATCTCACCAGCACGGTTCTGCACTGATTTATCACGGTAAACAAATGGAAGATTAATTTATCACACTCCTGGTCTACATAAGAAACCTAGCTGTCTGTCATGATAGAGGGGAGAAAAGACAACTTGGCAGAAAGAGAACAGAAGAATATAAAAAAAGATAACCTGGGAGGACCAATCAATTTAAATGCAGAGTGTGTAGCGTTGCACATATTGCAGAGACAGGCAGCAGCTACACGCTCTCTCCAATGATGAGGCATGACAGTAAGTTTAATCAGAGGAGGAAGGGGTTAGGATCTCTGGTGAGATCTCCCTTTTCTTTTTGGAATTCATTAATAGTCCAATATTTTTGTCTCTCTCATCCTCACACTTCAAAAAGTTCACATATTGCCTTAATCATTGTTGCTTCTCAACATGCCCCAGCCAAGCATCAAACATTTTTTGCCTGTACTTTGTGCTATCCCTCGCCTCTCCTCTTCCCAAGCAGAGGACTGAGCACACCACAGAGGGATTTAGGGATGTTTGGGTTTGTTTTCAGAGAAGATCGAGTTGAAAAAGTGCAGATGTACAGGAGCACAGGTCCGGGTGGTGTCTGCATCAGTCCACTGCTGCCAGTGTCCTCACTCGCCAGCCAGGGACAGACCCTCATGAACATCATTTCCTAACCCACACCATGTCCACGGCACCAGGCAGTTCCTCTGTGCCTGCAATATGGGGGTGCTGGCCAAATGATTCAAACCTCTCATTCTGGGCCATGAGCTATTTGGCTCAGGCCACCAAATACTGTGAGAAGATCAAGGACCTTAAAATGTGACAGTGTTTTCAGAGGTGTCCAGAATATCCAGGATAAAAGGTGGAGGAGAGCTGTGATGTCGTTGCAGACTTTTGCGTTGGTGAAGACTTTTTCTGTACTGATATCGTCACATGTGGACACGCACTGGCACCGCAGTCAGCAGGCAGGCGATTATTCTGATGATATCTAGCATCATCAGAGCACTCTGACACAAGAGTATTACAACAGAAGATGGATAATATCCACCAGAAAAAAAATAATCCTTCTAGGATTCTTGCTAGGAATTTATTTCCAGGCATCAGATTTTAAGAAGAGGATACACTGCTTGCAGAATGTGGACACCAAAAATCACTCTCAATTGTTTTTTTCCCTTCCTAAGGAAAGTTAACTCAGGACTTAGGCAAGCTGAAATGTGAAACAAGTATCTGTTTATAAGAGCAGGGTCCCTCTTAGCTGTCTCAAAAATTTCTGAGTCTTGAATTGAAAAATAAACAAAAAACCCTCAAACCAAAACCACCCTCACAAACAAATGAAAAAACCCAGAACACAACTTCAACACCAGGCATACATTACTCTGTTTCATTAAATTAAACCTTCTAGGAAGATTTTTGTTTTCACTTTAGTTTTTCCCCTCTGAGCGGAGACTCCAGCTTGCTGGTTACCCAGCTGCTTCAGCTTTATAACGGGTTTTGCTGTCCCCTGGGCACCTGTGGCCACATGGGCCAACGTGTCCTAGGGCAGCATTAAAGACACATCTGCCAGTGCTGGAGGACGATGTGATGGACAGCAAGGCCGTGAGGGCTGCAGGTTACACCCCCTCGAGACCAGCCCCAGCACAGGCAGGAGAGGGGCAGTGAGGAGAGTTGTGCACCCCTTGGCTTTTAGCAATCCCCAATGACAACAGGGTGCGTGCAGGGAAGGGGCAGATGATACCAGAGACACCCTGGTTGTCCCTAAGGGTAGTTCTGTAAGGGTAAATTAGATGGTGAGCACTGGCACATGGTCTTCCAGTTCTGTGAGTGATCATAGTGTGGGCTGTGCTAATTATCACTACCTCATCAGTGCTTATGGGGAGTTTGAGGAACTGCAGAGCAGTTCCCAACAGGCAGCACAAATGAAGACAGGTTCTTCTGAGGGCGAGGAGTGCACTGTGAGAATAGCTATGCCAGGGGCTCTGAAAATGTTCCCTGGCTGGTTTTCTTCACTGGCACAGAAAAAAACCTGAAGGACTGTCTCGCAGCAGCTGGAGGTAGATCAGCCATGGGCAACCTGTACTACAGGCTGCAGCACTCATTTGCAGTTTTCAGGGGAAAGCAGGCGCAGCAGGAAATGTGGAGCTTTACAACTGTTCACAAAGACAAATGCAACTGCAGAGGCATTAGTGTAAGATAAATGCATTTGCACCTCCACAGTGAGCCACTTCCAGTGGCAAAAGTGTGTTAAAAATACATGTGCAAAATCGCAAAACAATTAGAAGAGAAACCTGCTTTTGAAATTGTAGCCTGGACCCTACTTCTAAAGAGCCTTTCATCTCTCCTCTGTCTCTGAATTCAGAAAGAATTCTCTCCACATTTGAGATCATCTGTCTTCCTGTATAATAGTAGTCTAATTATGATTATTTATTAACATTTTCTAAGAATGATCGGGCCTTGCCCTTATCCTGTGTGTGAAGATAAGACACAGCGAGTTACAAGTCCCCCCTTTTCCTTCAGCCAGACAATAGCCCCATCACAAGGCACCACAATGTTAAGGAATAGTCAAGGAAGATCTTTACAGTAAAATTTTTTCCAAAACGAATTCTGCAAAGGTTTCTTAAAGAAACACATTCACTACCAATGACAAGGATAATGATTCACAAGCCATAAAGCCTCGCAAAGGCAAGATCACACATGACAACTCTTCCATGTGTCGGGTAGCTCCCATTTTTCACCGTGTCAGTTTTCTAATGCGGATTCCAATAATGAAGAAAGCATTTCCTTAGGGGAGAAAACTTATCAAGATGCCGAGTTTTTTTTCCCAGTGACTAATTACATGCCATGAAAACCAAGGTCTGATGCCAAATGAGGAGAGAAGCGGGTGGACAGGTATGGAAACCTCGCTGCTTGGTAAGGTCCCAGACAATTTTTACTCACCTCTAGTGTAGTCAATACAATCTTCTCAACTGAAGAAAAATAAGCCTCCCACAAGAACTGTGTCTGCTGTCTAAGTGCTAGGATTTTATCCTGATGGATAGACCTGATTGTAGAAGGAATCTGTAATACAAGATGTAATATAGTCAGAAGCTTCAGAAAACAATGCAATCTCATCAAATTAGTATGCTGCTGGCAAGCCCTCTCCTCTATTAGCAAGCTGCACAGCTTCAGCGCTCCTGTCCAACAAGATGCATGTGTCAACAGTTAAAGCCTTGATGTAGCAATGAATGAGACACAACCCTTTATAACCTTTGGTATTGAATATATGATTTTTTTTATCTGCTTTCTCTTAGTCTGTGGCTGCTTTATGGATGCAAAAGCTCTCCCTCCCTAGCGCTGTGGCACAGTGAGGAGCTCCTCCATACATCCCTCACGCACAAAGCTTTTCATGGACTAGTGTTTTAACAAACTACTTACTACCTGCGGGTCTTGAGAGTCCAATAATAATCCCCAATCTCAAAGTATATTAAAGAAATCTGGAATTGCATTTACAGCAGCATGGCAACACTAAATGCCCTAAGGAAAACATAGCAAAATCTTAAGTAAGACACTACTTTTTGGGAGCCTGTAGATCAGATTGCATTTTACTAATTACTGTGGGTGGAAAGAATAACGTCTTCCACAACACCTGTTATTCACAAGGGAAACCACTGCTTCTTTTTTCCCCTTTCCATTAAATCAACACATTAATTCTAGTAAACCCCAACTGTCCTGCTGCAATGGTTTGCCATTGAAAAACGTAACTGCTCACTGGATCAGAAGGGGAGGGCTTAACTTCTATGTTCTTTCCTCATCCTCACATCCCTCTTCCACACTGGAAGGAAACTAATGTACCTACCTGTCACTCTTTAACTTAGGATCTTGAACAAGGCCTCCAGTACACCACTTTGACAACGCAAACTGACATCATCAAGGGAAATGAACTGCAATTTGGTTCCATTACAAGGGCTACTCACAGCACCAAAAAGGCAGCCAGGATATGTTGCTGATTTGTGTTCACTTTTTCTAGGAACAAAGAGTTGTGCTGTTGTGCCTACTTTTTCGTGATTTCAGATTAGGCCACCTTGTTCTCAGACACTCATTTCTCATAAAACTTCTACCCAAGTTGTTAGTTGTAGAAACATATACCCAGGCTCTGTGTTGCTTCTTGCACATCCCAGCTTATTCTGAAGTTTACCAACACATCCTGCCCTTTCCTGACCAGAACACACTTTGCTTATTCCTAAAATATTGAGAGGTGGCAGTGATCGTTATTTCCTTTCACATCCTCCTCAATCAAATGATTTGACATGAAACATGTTCCTCAAGAAAACTTGAGATTTTAAGAATTTATTTGTAAAAAAATTCCACAAGAATCAGTAAATTTTGTACTGCATTGTTTGCATCCAGGTCTGGACACAGCATCCAAAAAGATCATGGCTCCACAGCATCCAGAGTCAGGTGGGTCAGTCTCTGCTCTCTAAGACCTCTGTCTCTTAGACATTCATTTTAGAGACACTGCTAACTATAATTCAGAATTTGAGCTTATGAGAGAGTTAGCACTACAGCACGGTGGAGCAGAAGAAAATGCTCAGACTGTTGAAGATGGTATTTTACGTTCCTTTGCTATAGGCCCCAGGCAAAATATAGGTCTTTAGGTAAAATATTCCCTGCAAAACTATTTGTGTCATGATGCAGTAAATAACTGCACCAAGTTTCATCTTTTGCGATGAATATTCTTTCTTTTCACTACCTTCCAGTAAGTTCCAATACATAGAGGGATAATGAACATGACCTGTACTGACTGTACGTGGGTGTGTATTAATCACACCTGGGATCATTATCAACAGCAAACAAACAATCAAAGTCACTTCACTGTGGTGATATGACATTTTTCTATAAACTTAAAGATTTCATTGCATTATGTGCAACCTTGCGTGTGTGTGCATATGCGTGTGAGTAAGAAATAAAATCAATACTCATTCCCAACTACGCCTTTTGAAAGGGAAGGCTGCTCTGACTGTGAAGGTTGCTGCAAGAAGTTATGATTTTACAGAACACACCATGCTTGCAAGTGCCTGCAAACACTGTGTCAAGGTTAAAAAAAAAAAGCTTTGGTGCCTGCTCCGTTACAACAGCTGGAAATTAAAATCAGAATTCCCATTTTAACTGCATTTGCCTATTAGTTATTAATCTACTTGTCCAGAAAGACAGGTGGGTAAAATGATGTATTAATACTAATCTGGCAGGATTACACCGGAATTATTAGAACTGGATGACGTCTTAATTAAAGGTCGTTCCAGTAGTAAGTAGGGGGAAGGGAAAAACTACTCTGCCCAAATAAAAGCAGAAAGGCTGGATTAAGCTCTCCCAGCGCTATGATGAGCAGAATATGCAAATAAAAACATCCGAGCTGCTCTCAAACAGGAAATGAAAAACTGTAACACAACAAAAACATTTCCCAGAGCAGACATTCAGGCCCTCTGCCAGCTCTTTAAAAACACTGTTAATAACGGTGTGGTAGCTGTTCAATATGGAAGCAGCTGTGAACAGAACGAATGGCATGTTACCGGAAAGCATGAAGATCAGCAAATTATTATTATTTAAAGAGAGAAATAATTTTGTTCAGAAATATGTGCTGTCCACAGAAGCAAAAATCAAATGGTCCTTTTGTATTTGCAGCTTGTATCACATTATGGAGAACAGGCAGCACTTCACAAGGCTTGCTAGGCCAGCTCTTCACAAGTATTTACTTCTTCAGATAAGTAAATAGGCATCGAATGAGATTCTCAAAGGTACTTCATTTTTGGGGTGCCAAGACACCTGTACCTTTGAAGGCTTCTCTCCATGGATGACAATAGTTTGCCACTTTGGAAATGAGTTAAATTCACCTATGAAAAAACCCACTCTCAGTGGCTACTTAGTGGCTACTCCATATCTTGTGGATCTCTATTTCATGCTGGGCAACGGCATTTTATCAAATGCTACTTTGGGGAAACCAATTTTTCAATAACTTTTCCTAACATCAGCTTCTCCACATACTTTACAGAATGTATTTAGACTATAAAACCCACTAGGGAAACAGAAAAAAAATAATCTAGTGACTTGAAAACCAAAGTAGATGCTGAAGGTGGCAGGGAATTTCTAACTTCTTAGCTCTCTTTTGTTCCATGATCTCAAGGAGATTAACAATAAGTGACAGAACACTGCTTCAGAAAGCAATGTTACATGGTTCAGACATTAGAAAAGGGACAGATTCTGCTTCCCACAAAACTGTTAGGTGGTAACTCCTGCCTGAGAAAATGCCAGCTTTCCTGACGAATCCCTCAGTACCTGCCAGCCAAACAGGGCTGGTGGGACCTCTGAGGATAGACTATTTCTGAAGGACGAGAGCAGAACATGCCTTCAAATGTTTTCTCTCTCATCACAGCTCCTGGTCCAGAAGAGCTCTGCCTCAGAGACACATCTAGGTGCTCCCCACCAGAAGAGATTTCATGCTCTTAGGAAAAATAAGAGAGTCTCCTGCATTTCAGAATGTGGCCTGGTGGCTGCAATGACCTTCAGGTCAAAAAATGAATGATGTCATATTAAATGAGTTCATAGTCAGTATGACACAGACAATCTCTTCATGATAAAAATTCCTTTACAGCCCTGACCTTTCGGATTCATCTTCCCTGTCCATTTAGACAGTGGCAGCAATAATCAACTGATCCGCTGAAGGCCGCGGTCTTTTCCTTACCTGTAATAACAATCTCTCATCGCCTATGACGGCAGCTTGGTTCCAATCAATCACTTCCGAGAACGGCAACTCCCATCCGTTGCTGAGCATAACCGGGACGCAGGCAGCCTGCACGCACACAGAGGCATCGCAGTCGTTAGCGGGTACCCGATGATTAGGGCAAGCTTTGAGGTCTGCACTAACCTCGTGACTATTGTTTTCTGCACAAGCTCAGAAGCTGAGGCAACATGGGAAAGAACACCAGAAGCTAGAGGCCACAGGAGGGCAGCCCAAATGGTCGTGGTTTTCCATTTTGCACTTATTCATATTCACTGAAAGGTGGGGTTTGTATGGACAGTGGTATTTGAAATCTGGTTCTTACGCTGCCAGGCGAGGGCAGAACTGAGGGCTGGAGCACCTCTCCTATGAGAACAGGCTGAAAGAGTTGGGGTTGTTCAGCCTGGAGAAGAGAAGGCTCTGAGGAGATCTTATAGTGGCCTTCCAGTACCTGAAGGGGCTCCAAGAAATCCGGGGAAGGACTTTCCATAAGGGCAGTTAATGACAAAACAAGGGGAAATGGCTTTAAGCTGAAAGAGGGGAGGTTTAGATTAGATATTAGGAAAAAATTCTTCACTGTGAGGGTGGTCAGACACTGGAACAGGTTGCCCAGAGAAGTTGTGGATGCCCCCTCCCTGGAGGTGTTTAAGGCCAGGCTGGATGAGGCTTTGAGCAACCTGCTCTAGTGGAAGGTGTCCCTGCTGATGGCAGGGGGGTTGGAACTGGATGATCTTTAAGGTCCCTTCCAACCCAAACCATTATGTGATTCTATGATTCTATGAACTGTTAAAATGCTGTAGATGTAACACCGGAGAATTTAATACAAAATGATGGCGTCCCTTGCTGCCTTGTGAACAG